TCAAATAGTAACTGGCAGGGGAAAAAAGAAGAATGATTCCATGTTTTACTTTATGGGCAGAGATGAAATTGTCCTTTTCTGTGATAAAAAGTTGACTCTTCTAAGATATTGCTTAGAAAAGTAGCAAGTTGCTTTTTAAGTGTGAGAAATATAACTCTTGCCTTATAAAATCAGTTTCTAAGGAATTAAAAAATATACTTTGTCTCTGTATCCTACACTATGTACTTCATCCATCCATCCGTCCGTTCATTCACTTAATCACTCACCCAATGAATGCTTCCCTCCCTGACCCCTTAGGGGGAACAGGTTACCATGCTACTCACTGAGGGGCCAAGAAGAATCAAGAATCTCCTGCCTTCTAAGGGCTCACACTGGAGCGGGGAAAGCAGATGAAAGAGACAGTACTCACCAAATGCTTTCTTATACTTCCCAGCCTCCGCTGCCATTAAGTGGGAGCCTTGTGCCAAGTTCTGTCCAGTGAACTGTGACCAGAAGTGATGCCTATCGCTTCTGGCCTAAGGCAGCTATGAACCGGTGTGACTTTAACAACTCTTTCTCCCCTTGCAGTGATGACCTGGGAGGTCACATGTGCTTAGATGACGCAGCCACCGGTTGGGCAGGGCCACCAGACTGGGTTAGATCCTACCTGAAGGAATATAAACCTTCATTGTGTTATTTTACCTCCTTTTTTTTTTTTTTATTGTGGCAAAATATACATAACAAATTTTTAACCTTTTTAAAAAAAGATTTTATTTATTTATTTGACAGAAAGACAGCGAGAGCTGTCAAGCAGGGGGAGTGGGAGAGGTAGAAGCAGGCTACCCACCGAGCAGGGAGCCAGATGCAGGGCTTGATCCCAATCACCACCAGAGCTGAAGGCAGACTCTTTTTTTTTTTTTTTTAAAGATTTTATTTATTTATTTGACAGACAGAGATCACAAGTAGGCAGAGAAGCAGGCAGAGAGAGAGGAGGAAGCAGGCTCCCCGCCGAGCAGAGAGCCCGAAGTGGGGCCCGATCCCAGAATCCCGGGATCAAGACCCGAGCCGAAGGCAGAGGCCCCAACCCACTGAGCCACCCAGGCGCCCCTGAAGGCAGACTCTTAACGACTGAGCCACCCAGGCGCCCCATGTTTTTAACCATTTTTAAGTGTGCAGCTCAGTGGCTTTGGGTATATTCCCAGTGTATTTCCCTTTGTTTTTTTAACAAATAAGTGGACAAGTGCTCATTTGAGCCTTTATAAATCTCCCCTACAACTTTATAGTATCTAGTGATGATTTTTGCTGAGTACTGTTATTATCACATCATTTTATTTTTTAAAGATTTATTTATTAGAGAGAGTGAGTGAGAGTGAGCCCGAGCTGGGGGAGGAGCAGAGGAAGAGAGGGAAGCAGACTTCCGGCTGAGCAACAAGCCCAGCGGTGGTTGATCCTGGGACTCCAGGATCGCAACCTGAGCCAAAGGCCGTCACTTAACTGACACTTAACTGACTGAGCCATCCAGCGTCCCTTCTCACGTTATTTTAATATGATACATTTATAAGGTTGATTTTACTAATATTCCCCTTTACAGATGAGGAAATTGAAACACAGAAAGTTTAAGTAATTGTCCAACTTACCGTGTTGGATGGAGGGGGGTATTGAACCACATCTGACTCTAATGTTCAAAGTGTGCTTTGTAGCAGGGATTGGACCAAATCTGCCACCTCTTTTTGTGATAAAGTTTTACTGGGACACAAAAACACCCATTGTTTACATATCATCTTTGGCTGCTTCCACACTAAAATGCCAGAGTTACATAGGTGTGACAGAGACCATATAGTCTGCAAAACCTAAAATACTTACTATCTGGCACTTTAAAGAGAAGGTTTGCTGACCTCTGCTTTATATAATAGGTCTTCAATTTTTTATTCTTTTTATTAAAGCAGATGCTTAATGACTGAGCCACCCAGGCACCCCTATAATTGTGTTCTAAATATGATCCTTATTCCACTATTTCCTATTGTAACAATTTTAAGGTTTTTTTTTTTTTTTTTTTTTTTTTTTTAAGTAATCCCTGTGCCCAGCGTGGGATTCAAACTCACAACCTGAGATCAAGAGTTGAGTGTTCTACCGGCTGAGCCAGCCGGGCACCCAACCTGTTTTAACAGATTGTGTATGTGTCTGTGTATGTTCCAGTTTCTCCACATCCTTGCTAATGTTGGTTATTCTTTTTTACTGTAGCCATCCCAGTATGTGTGAAGTGTTTCTTTTTTTTCAAGTTTTTATTTAAATTCTAGTTAGTTAACATACAGTGTAATATTAGTTTCAGGTGTATAACACAGTGATTCCGTTTTAACAATTTTTTTTAAAGTTTATTTATTTATTTAAATAATCTCTACCCCCAACCTGGGGCTTGAACTCACCACCCCGAGATCAAGAGTCACATGCTCTTCTGACTGAGCCAGGCAGGTGGCCCTGTTGTAACAATTTTAGACACTAATTATTAATTAACCTAGTATATGTCACTCTTCTACTTTCTTAGTGCCAGGTTAGAAATAGTTAATTGTTCTTAGTTGAAATGTAATGTTTTGTGATCATTTAAATGATTTTTTGCATTTTTGTCATACTGTAGTAAGAAAGTTAAGACGCACTTAGCAATAGCTAACCTTTCAGTACTTCCTTTGTGCACTGTTCTAATGCAGTTTTCATGCAGTATCATGTTAATCTCGACAGAACCCGTAGGAAATGCAGGTACTATTACTATGTCCGTTTTCTAGATGAGAGGACATCATCTAGAGAGATTGTATGATTTTTCCCTTGGTCAAGCACCTACTGGGTATTTGCCAGAAACCGACCTTTGGAACTTGAGTCCCCAAACGCCGTATTGTGGTGCGGTGGGGAACGTCCTGCCACCTGGGATTCCTAGATTTGTAGTTTTACTGTCAGCAAATAACCTGAAGACAACAGCATGCTAGTGTGCTGAGGCACAACACTTTTTTTTTTTTTTTTTTTTTGCCAAGTACTGTTTATTCTGCACATACCCACAGCCAGTTTGTACCAAGCGATTTCATTTTACAAAAGGAGTCAAGGGTCAGGTGGAGTCAAGAAAGGTGACCTGTAGTAAGGAATAGGAGGGCAATATTGGGAGCAAATAATTTTTCATTTTTTTTGAACACCAAAGAATCCTGCAGTGCTACCCCCAGCGGCTGCAGTCCTGGGCCACATGTGTGCGCGCTCCTTTGCAACTGGTCCTGTGAAAGCAGACCTTTCGTTTTGCCTTTACTCTTTTCTGTGACCCCCGTGTTATCTTCCAAAGAGAGAAACACACCAGCTTCTCACCAGTAGGGACTTCCATTGTCCAGTTACCTGCTGGTTATACACCTTCTTTCTGAGCTCTGGTTTGCCTTCCTTCACTGTGGTGGTCACCATGTCACCCCCACCAGCAGCAGGAAGCCTGTTCAGCCCCTGATCCCCCTCGCCAAGGTCATCTGCAGATTTTTGGCTCCTGTGCTGTTAGCACAGTTGATCACGGCTTCTACCGGAAGAGCCAGGAAATCCGGAATTTCACACCGGAGGACCCACCATGTCCTCGCTTCCACGTCTTGAACACTGGAAAGGGACAGAAAGGCTGGGGCCCAGCACTGAATCCGTCTGATCTGAGACAGGTGTAGGGGTAGTCAGGTAGTGGGTCAGCCAGTGGCAAATGCTGCTTCTGAGGGTAATTCTGTTTACTAATGGACGATACATTTGCATAGTCTCAGTCTAATGCACTGGCTCCCCAACTTGAGCCTGGGTCAGAATCACCTGGTGGACTTGGGCAAGCACTAACTCCTCAGCTTCGCCTTTAGTTTCTGATCCAGGAGGTCTAGGGTAGGACCTGGGGATTTGCATTTCTAATAAGTTCCCAGGTGATGCTGATGCTGCAAAAGACCTAACTGGTCTGATGCTTTATTCTTCCTGAATATTAGGGCCATCCACACTGCCTTCTCTTGCTCTTTAACTTTCCTGTTAGTCTCCTACCAGCTAGCTTGTTAGCTCCTGGAAAGCAGGTCAGTTATTGTGGCTTTTACTTTTAAAAAAAAATATATTTAATTTATTTATTTGAGAGAGAGAGAGAGCACAAGCACAGGGAGAGTCAGAGGGAGAAGGAGAAGCAGCTTCCCCACTGAGCAGGGAGCCCAGTCTGGGGCTTGATCCCAGGATACTGAGATCATGACCTGAGCTGACCTGACCTGAGTTAGGCAGTTGCTTAATGACTGAGCTGCCTAGGCACCCCTGGCTTATACTTCTCTTTTTGACCCCACTGAAGCCAGAATCATGTTGTTCATATATGAGGTAGTAATGAGTTGTTTGGTTACTCTCCCTTGGAGTGTTTTTGTAATTTTGACTTTTTCAATTATAAACATTGCAATTATAATGCATTATAATTCTAAAAATCACCTTAAATAACACCATCACCCTAATGAACATTTTATGGTTTGTTTTTTTAAGTAAGCTCCTTGCCCAATGTGGGGCTTGAACTCATGACCCTGAGATCAAGAGTCGCATGCTCTGCGGACTCAGCCAGCCAGGCACCCCAACCCTAGCCAGAATTTTAACAGAAAGATAGAAGTGGACCCTAAAGGATTTTTAGTGCCGTGTTGGATGATAGCTAAGCACTGAGGAACTTAGTCCTTGATTGGGGCAGTGCTTACAAGAAAAGCATTGGGGTAGCTGGGTGCCTCAGTCGTTAAGCATCTGCCTCCAGCTCAGGTCATGATCCCAGGGTCCTGGGTTCGAGTCCCACATTGGGGGTGCCCACTCAGCGGGAAGCCCCTGCTTGTGTTCCCTCTCTCACTGTTTCTCTCTCTGTCAAATAAATAAATAAAATCTAAAAACAAACAAACAAACCCACATTAAGTGTTAAGTAAATCGACTTGTAGGATACTACATTTGGATGCTTTAGTCTGATTTTGTGTAGAGGCTCTTGCTTTTTACCTTCAGCAATCTTTGAGATCTTTTTAAATCTTCTGTTTTTATAGAGGTCACCTGGAATCAACATGTCTGGGACTGAGGAAGCGGTTCTTGGAGCCCGAGGCAACCATCCTTCTGCAGCTGGCGGCAACTCCGTGTTATGCTTCGGACAGGTAACTGTGTTTTCCATACCTGGGAAGAATGAGGTTAAGTGAACAGGTAGGAGAAAGTAGTTTGTAGGGCACAATCATGTATATGGAAGCTATTTACTGTCAGCGGGTTTTCCTTTCGGTATACATTATTAGGGACTCTGAGGAACTCTCAGCGCGTCGTGGAACTGTAGCATCATGTAGTACTGGGGATTACATTGAGATTTACCTTTTGTTTATTTTTTTGATACATTACATATTCATATGGTATAACATTCAAAAGGAAACGTAGACTGTATGTGAATGCAAAGTCTTGCTCTTTCCCTGTCACTCCTGTCTACATTTCACCCAGTGTCAAGGATTCCAGTGTCCTATTCTTTTTTTTTTTTAATAGATTTTATTTATTTATTTGACAGAGAGAGAGATCATAAGTAGGCAGAGAGTCAGGCAGAGAGTGAGGGGAGAAGCAGGCTCACTGCTGAGCAGAGAGCCCGATGCGGGGCTCGATCCCAGGACCTGGAGATCATGACCTGAGCTGAAGGCAGCGGCTTAATCCACTGAGCCACCCAGGCGCCCCCCAGTGTCCTATTCTTTGTGGCGATATTCTGTGCGTATAAAAGAGATTCTTGCTTTGTCCCCTCGAGTCCATCTTTGTCTTTACCATAGATCTGTTTGTGAAAATTTATTTCATTAATTTATTTTTTAAAAAAGATTTTATTTATTTATTTGACAGAGAGACATCACAAGTAGGCAGAGAGGCAGGCAGAGAGAGAGGGGGAAGCAGGCTCCCCACTGAGCAGAGATTCCCGGGACCCTGAGACCATGACCTGAGCTGAAGGCAGAGGCTTAACCCACTGAGCCACCGAGGCATCCCGATTTATTTCATTTAAATAGGGCAAGGGGGAAACTACCAAGGGGACAGTAGTCAAATAAGTAGTGGTATATTTATGTATGTGTAGGATGGAAAAGTGTTGAACTAGAGAAGAGGTATGTCTCCTGCTCCCTTGTGGGCATAAATGTCATATACAGACTCGGAGGTGGCACTTTTCAGTTTACCAATTCTGACTTGAGAAAGTTTTGTCAGGAGGGTGGTGACACCTAGGGCACTGCCTCTCAAAATGGTGCCCAGCGACCCCTGGGGTCCACCAGACTTCTCCCAAGTCCACGAGGTCAAGAAGATTCCATAATAATACTAAAAATCTTCTTGCCTTTTCCTTTTCATTCTCTTACGAGTGAACAGTGAGACTCTCCAGAGCACACACAGCCTGGGGGGATACTGCTCTGATGGCTATGGAAAGTGTGCCTTAGAAGTTTCTCAGTTTTAATTCCTAGTATTGGTAGATAAAACCCACGTAAACAAGAGCTCTTAGGGCCCTCAATACTTTTTAAGAGTGTGAAAGGGTCTGGAGACTTGCTGGCATAGGAATGGGGGAATGTCAGTTTAATTTTTCCTTTTCTGGATTGCAGTATCAGTACACAGCAGACGAGTACCAGGCCATCCAGAACGCTCTGAGGCAGAGGCTGGGCCCGGAATACATCAGTAGCCGCATGGCTGGAGGAGGCCAGAGGGTAGGAGAGATGACACGCTTGAGAAGTTGGGTGCCCCTCTAGCTGGCTACTCAGAGGATCTTTCTCCCTCTCTGGGTCCTCATGGATTCAGAAGGTCTCCTGCTCACTGTTGCTGGATGTTTCCTAGTGTCTTTGGGAGGGGATGGGTTCCAGCTGGCATCGTCATCTAAAGCCACCCAAGTATTGTCTTCCATCTTGAGATATTTACACCATCTTTTAAAAATGTCTCTTTTGCCCTTTGCTTCTAATTTTATGTGTATATTTTTGGTCTCCTATAATATATGTCAGCCTGAGACTTGTACTTTTTTGGAAACTGAGTTTTGGAAACTGCTAGGTGAGTGGGTATCTTTCTACTCTGAGTCTAGTCCCTCCCCCAAGACAAAACACTAGTTCTCGCTGGTTCCTTTTGGAAGATCTTTGAAATCAATTCACTGAGAATTTCCCTGGAATGTTAAAGGGCAGTTTTGCCAAAAAATCTGGTAAGGAGTAAATTAAGTAAATTTTGATTCTCATTTAGTATGGCAGAGGGAATCTTAACCAGCTCCCCCTCTGCCTTTAATTTCTCTTCCAGGTATGTTACATTGAGGGTCACAGGGTAATTAATCTGGCCAATGAGATGTTCGGTTACAACGGCTGGGCACACTCCATCACACAGCAGAATGTGGGTGAGTATGTTTTCCTGGCAATGGGGACTTCATTTCCTTTACTTTGGTGCTAATTTCTGATGAGAGTATTTTGTGGGTGAGGATGTAGGTGTATTTTGTTGCTGGTAGGAGGAATATGGGTGAGGCACAGGAGTCAGTATCCTCTTCAACTGGTTCTCTTTTCCACTCCTAGATTTTGTTGACCTTAACAATGGCAAGTTCTACGTGGGAGTCTGTGCGTTTGTGAGAGTCCAGTTGAAGGTGAGGGTGATGGAGCAGACCCGCTGCCTCCAAGGACTGGGTGGGTGGTGAGAGGAGAATGAGCAGGTAGAGAATTCTCTGGACTGGGCCTAGAGAGCTGGGGCTCAGCCAGTGTTCCTTAAACATTCTTACTCACATGCCCCCTAAATGAATGCTGAAAAACGCGTTTCCTGTACATTTTAAGTTGACACCTAAAAGGTTTCGCTGTAAGTACAAATGCACCGTAAGTCCTCTGCATTTCAAAAGTTTGCGCTGCACCCCTTTGCTTTTATGAAAACCTACGCTGGTACCTGTTTTCCCTTAACTGAAAGCAATCTAGAGAGGATTTTCACTTCTATGAGAAAAGGCACACCCTGGTGGCAAGAGGAGCCCCGCCGAGTCCATCCCTGGGAACTACACTCACTGTCTCGGCATCGAGCTGCCAGGCTTTGAGATCTGTCCGTGAGCATCTGTGCTCTAGCTCCGTTTATTGTGTGCGTCCGTTAGCAAGATGTGTCCTTATGTTATCAGAAAAGCGTAACAGGTTATTTTTTGGATCTGGGAATGCTGAGAGATTTTTCCATATAAATTAATGGCAATTCTTTGCTTTATACCATTTTGGCTTACGGAAGCTTTCATGAGAATGTTTGTTCTACTTTCGGATAGCAGGGGAAACCTGTAGTTACAACGGTATGTTTTTTAGCATATTTTAAAATTTGACACTCTAAAATCTGTTACATCTTTCTCTTCCTTTTTTTATTCAAGTGTAATTAACATCCAATGGTGTATAGTTGTCAGGTGTACAATATAGTGATTCAGCACTTCCACACATTTTTCACGACTCATCAGGATAAATGTATTCTCAGTCCCTGTTATTTCACATTTCTTTTCTTGTTACATCTTTTTAAGATGTACCAATGTATTTTAAATATCATAAACGATTAAATACTATGATCCACTTAAAAAAAATACATGAGCAAGCTATTCTTTAGTCATGAGAAATTTTACATTTTTTTCTTCTCAAACTCATATTTCCATTCTATCTCCTCATTGGCTTTTGTCCATATACATGTATAAACAAAATATATGTTTGGAATATATATTATGTATATATATTACATGTGTTTGGAACCTTTTATTAATAACCTTAGCATATTCCTCTGTGTGTGTGTGTGTGTGTATGTATGGTCATATAAATGTAATTTTGGGGGGTAGATTTTCAGTGACTTTAAAGCTCTAAATTTTAAAAAATTTCTTCTGGATTGAATTACTGTTATAGGTATTACACACAATTGATCAGTTGGGTCTATGAGGGGGATAAAATAACTACATCAAAATTTATATACTTAATAAAAATAAATTTTTATGGAAAATGCATTTCTTAATGAGATGGATGAAGCTTTTTTTCTTTCTGGATGGTTTATATTTCCATAGTTTAATATTACTTTTTCCAAGATAGAACATTCAGCATTAATTCTATTCTCACTTCTTATTTTTATATATAGTACTAGGGACACCTGGGTGGCTCAGTCAGTTAAGTGTCTGCCTTGGGCCCAGGTCATGATCCCAGGGTCCTGGGATTGAGTCCTGCATCAGGCTCCCTGCTCAGCGAGGAGCCTGCTTCTCCCTCTGCCTGCTGCTCCCTATGCTTGTGCCATGTCTCTCTCTCCCTCTGACAAATAAGAAAAAAAAAATACTGAAAAACCTTACTCACATACATAAACTGGGAATGGAGAGAATTTTGTTACAGTATCACCATTTCTTTGAATAAGCTTTCTGAGTTATATCTCAGAAATCAGAGTGCTATCCAAAATTATATTTGGTTCTCTGTCAGCTAATAACTTGATCAGGTATACCTTCATTTTTGATGAAAGCCAGGAAATGGATACCACCTGACCTGTGAAAAGATTTTTTGATTTGCTAGCCAATCGTTAAGAATCTGTTAAATACAGTATTTCACATTTTTCTTTTGTTTCATGTCCCAGAGGTTTTTATACCTTGGGGCTATGCACCTTAGGAAGATTTAGGGTGGGTTAGCTATGTGCCTTTTTTATGTGCACTTGTAAGTGGGTAAGGAGAATTGTCTTGTACATTTCCGGGCAGATCAGGTCAAGGACGTAGCACTGGAAATTAATTCTCTTCCAGCTCTCTGTGCCTGTGTGCCCTTTAGCAAGGCGCCCAGGTTCTGTGTGCCCTGGTGCAAATGCCCTTGAGGGTGAGGAGAGCTGTGGAACCAGGACACGACTGCAGCTCTTCACGTTGGACTCTGAACTCCTTTTCTACCTATAGGATGGTTCATATCATGAAGATGTGGGCTACGGTGTCAGTGAGGGCCTCAAGTCCAAAGCCTTGTCTTTGGAGAAGGCCAGGAAGGAGGCCGTGACAGACGGGCTGAAGCGGGCGCTGAGGTGAGCACGAGGGCTGGAGTCTAACCTGCGTCAGTTTTATTCCTGTTTGTTTGTTTGAGACGTAATTCATTCATGTGGTACAAAAAGTTGAAATAACCCAAGCCTCACTCCCCCCTTGTCCCTGTCAGCCCTGTTTCCTACACTTTGAATTTTCCCTGTAGTTCTTTATGCTTAGGTCTCCCCTCTTTGAGAATAAGTGGTAGAATACTACATTCTCGGGGCACCTGGGTGGCTCAGTGGGTTAAGCATCTACCTTTGGCTCAGGTCACCATGCTGGAGTCCCAAAATCAAGTCCCACAACGGGCTTTCTCAGTGGGGAGTCTGCTTCTTCCTTTGCCCCTCACCCCACTCGTGCTTTCTCAAATAAATAAATAAAATCTTAAAAAAAAAAAAAAGAATACTATATTCTCTACTCTGTACTTGATTTTGCTCACCCCCATCTCAGTTGTGTGTCTTGGAAACCTTTCCACACGAGGACAGAGATCGCTTCCCGATTCTCTTTAAGACACCTAAACAGTGTTTCCTTGGGTATGACAACTAAGGTGAATAGAACAGGGTTTTTTGTTTGTTTGTTTGTTTGTTTTTACTTTTTTTTGGGGGGGTCATACATGGCCTTTGAGAATTGACATGAATTAAATCACACATGTAATGAACCTACATTAAAAACTTGAGGTGCTCTAACTGGTGCGGGAGGCCAGATGTCCCAAGTAAAGAACTTCAGGGATGGAGGACGGCGTGTCCTAAGTGAGTTGTCCACTATTACTGGGGAATTGGAACCATCCTTGAAAAAAGAATGGCAGGAGGTAGCTCATGGGGTTTTGCGAATGGTTTCTTAGTCTTTTGGACCTCCCTGCCTCTTGTTGAGGGCAGAGACTGGTGACTGCTGTGCCCCATGCTGTACTGAGAGCCTCATACAGTGCGTGAAAGTGGCAGGTGCCCAAGAAGTGTTTCTGCATGTATATTGGGGTCCATCTCCTCTGCCGCAGTGGAGAAGCACCTTGCCACAAATGTTGTAACTGTTAACTGTGTTCTCTGATATTGACACATAATCATTCTCAACCTGTTCCATTCTTTTTTTTTTTTTTCCCTTACCCTTAGAAGTTTCGGGAATGCACTTGGAAATTGTATTCTGGACAAAGATTATCTGAGGTCACTAAATAAGCTTCCCCGCCAGGTATGTTAGAAATGGATGAATGGAATGCATCACAGTAGAGATAGGACCAGTGCCCCAGGGGCATGGATTGAGTATTCTGGACGAAGAAAGAAGAAGGGGAGACTCAGCCCTTTTGAGGGCCTGGAATGTGTATTTCAGAATTGTCTGCCGACCAGAGCCAGCAGGAACCAATCACCGAATTTTCCAGCTGAAGGACTTGAAGCCTAGAGAATCCATGCCACTTGTTTTCTGCACAGAGAGCTGTGTTCCAGAATGGTGTGTGAAACCTCCAAAGGAGCACAGAGCTCCCTGCAGCGCCCCTGTGGTTCCTTAGAAACACTCAGAAAGAACCTCACCTTCTCAGCCTGCGTCTGTGCTCTAGGGGTCACGGCCTAGGTCCCCTTTTCTCCGCCAGAGCCTATCACATGAGCTGAGCCTTTGGAGGAGGTTCTGGAATCGCGCAGCTCTGGGCTTGCTCTTAGCGGGGGCTGTGGCAGGTGGTGGTGCGTTCCGGTGGCTGGCGGAGTGTCTGTCCATTCCAGCGTGCTGTCAGAGGCTCCCCGCAGCACCGCAGCCCAGGGCAGCATTCCCTGGCTTGTCCTTGAGGGCTGCTGGTGGGGGACACCCTGGCAGAGGGGCGTGGCACTTGGCAGCTGTCAAAACGCCACACTTTCCCTTGTTAAAATCCTTTCTATATGTTGTTGGCCTCCGTTTGCTTATATTTTGTTAAGGACTTTTGTGTCTGTTTATGAGGGATATTAGGGATTTTTTTTATTGTGGTAAAAAAAATAACAAAAAATTCACCATTTTAGCCATTTTTAAGTGTACAGTTCACTGATGAAACAGATCTCTAGAACTTTTTAATGTTGGGATTCTGCCACTCTATACCCATAGGACAACTCTCCTTTTCCCCCCTTCTCAGCCTCTTGTTACCACCATTCTACTTCTGGTTCCTATGAATTTCCTCTCTGGTTTATGTCGCCTTAGCACAATGTCCTCAGGTTTCATCTGCGTTGTAGCCTGTGTCAGAATTACTTTTTTTTTTTTTTGGTGTGTCTGGCTGGCTCAGTAGAGTGTGGGACTCTTGATCTCAGGTTGATCTACAGCCCCAGGTTGGCTGTAGAGATTACTTAAACATAAAGTCCTTTAAAAAAAATTACCTTCCTTTTTAAGGCTGAATAATATTCCACTGTAGGTACACACCACATTTTCTTTAATATTTCCATCAATGGACATTTGGGTGGCTTTCATCTCTTGACTTGGGAATAGTGCTGTTATACACATGGTTTTGCAAATACTTCTTCAAGACCTTGCTTTCAGTTATTTTGGTTATATATCAAGAGGTAGTGTTGCTGGAGCATATGGTAGTGTTTTTGTTTTTTTTTTTTAAACACAGAGCTGAAGCTCACCACCCTGAGATCAAGACCTGAGCTCAGATCAAGAGTAGGACACTTAACTGACTCAGCCCCAATGTGGTATTTTTTTGAGGAACTTCCATAGTGTTTTCTGTAGTGGCCACACCAGTGTTCAACCAACAGTGCACAAGTGTTCCATTTCTCTACAGCCTTACCAACACCTGTTATTTTCTGGGTTTTTTTGATAGCAGCCATCCTAGTGGGTGTGAGATGCTGTCTTATTGTGGGTTTAATTTGCATTTCTCTGATGATGACTTTTGATGTTGAATGTCTTTTCATATGCTTTTTGGCCATTTGTAAATTTTCTTTTTTTTTTTTTAGATTTTATTTATTTATTTGACAGACAGAGATTACAAGTAGGCAGAGAGGCAGGCAGAGAGAGAGGAGGAAGCAGGCTCCCTGCTGAGCAGAGACCCGATGCGGGGCTCCATCCCAGGACTCTGAGATCATGACCTGAGCCGAAGGCAGAGGCTTTAACCCACTGAGCCACCCAGGCGCCCCGATTTTTGGCCATTTGTATATCATCTTTGGAGAAATGTCTATTTCTTTGCCCATTTTTTAATTGGGGATTTTAATTTTTTGTTTATTGGGTTGTAGGAATTCTATATATATTCTGAATACTAACCCCTTATCAGAGACCTGATTGCAGATATTTTTTCCTGTTTCATAGGTTCCCTTTAAAATGTTTAAGTTTGACATTGTCCCATTTATATATTTTTGCTTTGTGTTTTTGGTGTCATATGCAAGAAATCATTGTCAAATCCAATGTCATGAGCTTTCCCCCTATATTTTCTTCTCTGAGTTTTACGGTTTGTGTCTTATGTTTAGGTCTTTAGTCTGCCTAAATTTATTTTTTTTTTTAATTTTTTTTTTTAAAGATTTTATTTATTTATTTGACAGAGAGATCACAAGCAGGCAGAGAGGCAGGCAGAGAATGAGAGGAGGAAGCAGGCTCCCTGCTGAGCAGAGAGCCCGATGCGGGGCTCGATCCCAGGACCCTGAGATCATGACCTGAGCCGAAGGCAGCGGCTTAACCCACTGAGCCACCCAGGCGCCCATCTAAATTTATTTTTGTTTATGATGTAAGATACCAGTCTAACTTCCTTCTTTTGCATGTGGATATCCAGTTTTTCCCAGCATCATTTGTTGAAGAGATTCTCTTTTTCCCATTAAGTGGTCTTGGCACGCTTGCCGATATTCATTTGATCATATATGAAAGGGTTTATTTCTGGGCTCTCTATTCCATTAGACTGTGTGTCTGTATTTATGACAGTATCATATCATTTTGATCACAGTTTGTTTTGAAATGAGAAGGTATGAGTCCTTCAGCTTTGTTCTTTTTCAATGTTGTTTTCACTATTTGAATTCCTTTGAGATTCCATATGAATTTTAGGATGAAATTTTTTTTGTGTATGCAAATAATGCTATGGGAATTTGGATAGGGTTTGTATTGAATCAGTAGTTTGGGGATCTAACCATATTAACTTTTATGAACATGGGGTGTCTTTCCATTTATTTGTTGCTTCTTTAATTTCAACAACCTTTTTGCAGTTTTCAGTGTACAAGTCTTCACATTCTTGGTGTTTAGGTTTATTACTAAGTATTTTATTCTTTTTTGATGCTATTTGATGGATTGTTTTCTTCATTTTCCTTTTGGATTGTTCATTACTAGTGTATAGACAGAACTGATTTTTGTGTGTTGATTTTGTATCCTGCAACTTCACTGAATTTGTTCATTCTAACAATTTTTTTGTAGTCTGTAGGGTTTTCTGCATATGAGATCATGTCATCTGCATCTAGAGATAATTTGACTTCTTTTCCACTTTATTTCTTTTTCTTGCCTAATTGCTCTGGCTAGGATTTCCAGTATGTGAGTATGAGTAGTGAGAGTGGGCATCCTTGCCTTGCTTCTGATATTATAGGAAAAGCTTTCAGTCTTTCACCATTGAGTATGTTGTTAGTGGTGCGTTTTTCATATTTGTCCTTCATGATGAGGTATATTCTTTCTATTCCTAGTTTGTTGAATATTTTTATTGTGAAAAGGTATTGAGTCTTAACAAATGCTTTTTCTGCATTAATTGAGATTAGCATGTGCTTTTGTCCCTTCTTTCTTTTTTTATTTATTTGACAGATAGAAATCACAAGTAGGCAGAGAGGCAGGCAGAGAGAGGAGGAAGCCAACTCCCCGTGGAGCGGAGAGCCTGATGCGGGGCTCGATCCCAGGACCCTGAGATCATGACCTGAGCTGAAGGCAGAGGCTTTAACCTGCTGAGCCACCCAGGCACCCCTTGTCCCTTCTTTCTGTTACTGTAGTGTATCACATTGATTGATTTGTGGAGTTGAACCATCCTTACATCCTGTGAATAAATACCCCTTTGTCATGGTGTATAATTCTTTTAACGTGCTATTAAATTCGGTGTGCTAGTATTTGGAAAAATTTTTTAAAAATAATTTTTAGTTAATTTATTAGAGAGAGAGAGCGCGCGCACATGCATGAGCTGGGGGAGGGGCAGAGAGAGAGAGGGAGAGAAGCAGACTCCCCACAGAACATGGAGTCCAACCTGGGGCTTAGTACCATGACCCCCAAGATCATGATCTGAGCTGAAATCAAGAGTCAGCTGCTTATCTTTCTGAGCCACTCAGGTGCCCCTGGAGGATCTTTGTATTAATATTTGTAATATTTTTCTGTAGTTTTCTCAAAGTGTTGTTTCTCTCTTGTAGTATCACTGGTTTTTTTGTTTGTTTTATTTTTATTAAGTTTTTTAAAATTTTAATTCCAGTCCAGTTAACATATAGTGTTATATTAGTTTCAGATGTACAATATAGTAATTCAACAATTCTATATATTACTCAGTGCTCATCATGATAAGTGTTATGTAGTGTCATTGTTTGACTTTGGTATCATAGTAATACTGACCTTATAGAATGAGCTTGGAAGTGTTCCCTCCACTTTAGCTTTTGGAAGTGTTTGAGGAGGATTGCTGTTAATTCTTTAAATGTTTGGTAGAATTCTCCCATGAAGCCAGTTGGTTCTGGGGTTTTTTGTTGGTGGTGGTAGGTTTTGGAATAATGATTTAACCTCCTAACTAGTTATTGGTCTGTTCAGATTGTCTGTTTCTTCATGATTCAGTCTGGTAGGTTGTATGTGTCTAGGAATTTGTCCATTTCTTCTAGGTTATTTGATTTGTTTGTATATAATTGTGCAGAGTATTCTTTTTTTTTTAAAGATTTTATTTATTTATGTGACAGAGAGAGAACATACACAAGCAGGCAGAGCAGCAGGCAGAGGGAAAGGGAGAAGCAAGCTCCCTGCTGAGCAGGGAGCCCAACATGGGGCTCGATCTCAGGACCCTGGGATCATGACCTGAGCCAAAGGCAGAGGCTTAACTGACTGAGCCACCCAGACGCCCCTGGTCATCTTATAATCTTTTTTATTTCTGTGGCATCAGTAGTAATGTCCCTACTTTCTGATTTTAGTTATTTGAGTCTTCTCTCTTTCTTTTCTAGTTTATCTAGCTAAGAGTTTATCAATTTTGTGGATCTTTTCAAAAAATTGTTTTGTCACTTATTTCTTCCTATTGCATTTCTGTTCTCTGTCATGTATCT